AAAAAGAAGAGACGAATAAATAAACAACGGTTGTTAGAGACACATAAACAGTTAATGGCGAAGAATAAAGATTTATTTGTGCTAACATAAAAGTGTACTGTGAGTTTATATATTAACCCCTTGACATACAATGACGAGTGTGACTCATCATTCATTTCATGGGCCACTGTAGACTTTGACGAGTCTGACTCGTCAAACGTTTTTTTCGGCGGACGCCGTGCAGTTTCCAATTAGATTACATAGTTGCTTCACTCGTGCGTCGATTCTCGTTTGTTTATAACGTTCGAGATGGCCCAAGAACAAAAAAGCATCAAACATATAAGAAGGAGCACACTCAAAGTAACATTCAGTTTAGCAGGAGTCTCGCACAGTGAATGTTATACTAGCCAATATTTGAGTTTAGTAAAGATTATAAATAATCCCTGTAACATGTATAAGTCGGATGCATTATATGAAAGTGACGATGAGAAATTACGTATAAAGAGATGCCGCGTGTGCGTAAAAAACAACATAAGAAGTGAAACAACGTGGCAGTGCAAAAAAGCATTTAAAGCAGATACTATTTTTGATGAAAAAATCAGAGATGTTCAGACTTTTACTTGAAGGACTCTGGGCGGCCGAATGCGCTCGATTCCGTTTATCTGTCGATCAGCTTGCATTGTGCTCAGAAAAGAAAAAGAAGCGTATACCTCTTCCCTTACTCTCCCGAAATTTGAAAGTGAACATCATAAAAAGACAATCCCGAAGTCCAGTTACCGAGATAGTCTTCTAAAATAAATCTTCCCAAGATATTGATAGCGTTTCCCCGAAAAATTATAAAATCACATAATTTAAAATAATTATAATAACGCATAGTATTATCATTATGGTTACGTGTTGCTTAATAATAATAACTAATCATTTAATATTATTATGAAATAATAATGAGTATTATGGATTAGTATTATAAAAAAATACTGTCTTCCGATGTATTATGTTGTACTGGTTTCAGCATCACGTTTCGTGTGTGACAATTGCACGCTTCCAACGATATTCCAGCAAAATTAAATTTCGAGAGCTTGCTTCGCAATTCGTCGCGTCCAACCGTTTCGAACTTTGTTGAGTTTTCATTTCTCGAAATATATCCGCATGCCTCTACCTTTACCACCAACAAAGACGTTGTCGAAGTCATGACGAACTCAAGTTCCTTGATAAAGACTAAAGTGTCAAAGGTATTTTCTTAATTTTATATATCATTTTTCATGTCATTTAATTTCTACTTTATATTATTGTGTTGATTATTATGTTATTGTTACTGCCAGTACCAATAATGGTATGAATAAAGAAAATAATCATTATTTACTGTTATCTTGTAGTACGTAAGATGCATCTACATAGGAAGAAGTAGAAGTAAATCAAAAACAGAGGAAACTTTGAAACCTGGTGAAGAAGAAAACAATGGAAGTCATGTAACGATTTGTTATTTTTTGAGTAACAGTGACGAGTTATTTTTCAAAATGAGCGGGAGTAACACGAAGTAAGTTACTTCTCAACAAGTAACTTCCTAAACCCTGTGAAATCAGCAAGCTGAAGAAACAATGAAAGAACTTACCATAATAACTGGTATATCAGTCTTTGGGTCGACATGTATCTTGAGTTTTCTCTGCTCGTCCACTGGTAGTATGTTGCACGAGTCATATATCTCAAGGATGCCATGCACGATTTGATCAATGCTGTTGGAAATCTCTGCAGTTGCTCATGACAGGAAAATCTTCAATGATCCACGCAGCTGATCGTTCCTCATGAGCAACTTCTGCATGCTCGAAATCAGTCCTGGCAATGAGCTGAAGTGTTTCTGCATGTCAACCATTTGGCTCGGACGAGTCGCACTGGCGGGCTTTGGCTCGACGCAGCTGAAGGAATAAATTGGGCTGTCAGTTGCCGATTAACACGTTCACGCCGGGGTGACCCACCGGTGGGTCACACTTGACTGTTCCGTGGGGCGACGTGACCCACCGGTGGATCACACTTGACTGTTCCGTGGGGCGGCGTGACCCACAAGTGGGTCACGCGTTTTCAGAAAATTCGTCGTTAAAAAAATAAGTTGATTTTATTTTTTCTCAACATTACATATAAAATTGAGTATTTTTTATTTATTTAATCTTAAAAAATAATCTTATATATTTAAAAATTAAAAAATTTATTTATTTATTTTTATTTATATCTATGCAACTTTTCAAAACATTCTAAGCATAATGTGGGCTGGCCCTTACAACGCGTACAATATGTCGTTACTTTTTTACTTTTTTTCGCGGCATATAATCTATTTCGTATTTTTGATAATTGTTTGTAACATTCTTTACATCGTTTTCTTGTGTTCCTGGCAGCCCCTTTGTATGATTGTAGAAAATGTGTACGTTTTCTTGACGGATTTCTCTTTTCTATTTCAGCTTCTTCGATTTCTCTGTGATGATTTTTGTTCAAAAGATGATCGATAATTTGTTCTCGAAATTTTAAAATTGGAATTTTTTTAGTTCCCCATTTTTTGTGGATATACCATGCATTTACCAGGCATGTTCCGCATATTATTTCTATCATAACTTTTCTGTACCATTTTAGTGTTCTTCCAAGACAACTGTAGTAAGAAGACATTTGATCAGATAAATCGACACCCTTTTTCGCATTATTATAAAAAAAAACAGTATCTGGTTTGAATTTATTATTTGGCCCCTGAATAATTGCACATTTATGGTTCTGAGAAGTTGTTATCATACATACGGGCCTTTTGTCGGTCCATTTCATAAATTTTACTCCTTTGTGATTTTCAAAACTTATAATGCTACCCCGAACTTGCTTTTGCTTTGATTGTGGTGGTAGATGTTTTTTGTTTTTTTTTATTGTTCCACAAATAAATGTTTTTTTTTGCAATAATTCCTCGGCCAAAGGGATACTAGTATAAAAACTATCTGTAAATAGTATGCGGCCCTCGAATAATAAATCTCTGATCAATTTTATGACTACGTCATGAGAATGTGTCTTGGCGATTGGTTCTGCATTTTTCCCTGCATAAATCTCCATATTATAGGTATAACCTTCAGGAAGGCACAGTTTGTATGCTTTTATGCCATACTTATGACGCTTGCCTGGAATATATTGGCGAAAAATAAGACGTCCTCTCCACGGAATCATACTTTCGTCGATAACAATGTTTTTTCCAGGTTTAATAGTGCTTTTAAATGTGTGCACAATTGCTTCAAATACATTTCTTATTTTATATAATCGATCTTCTGTTCTAGCCGTGGTATTGTCGGAGAAGTGTAAATATTTGAGAATAAATATAAATCGGTCACGTTTCATCGCATTTTTAATACGAGCGTTTGCATATATGTCATTTTGTGACCAGTATAATCTAATGTCTGGTACCTTTACTATACCCATAATTAGCAAGATGCCAAAAAAAGTATTTATTTTATCTTTTGTAATAGGCTCCCAGGCCCGTTGGTGACTTGTGCTGTTACATGCAGAATTATTTATGCTTTGTGTAGCGTATTTATTTGTTTCTTCTGCGATTATTTCAAGTATGTGATCCGTGACGAATAATTTATATAACGAAACAGGATTGTCGCAGTCAAAGTTGTGAATTAAAATTTCCTCTTCCTCAGCATATTCATTCATTCGTAGCTGTCTTCCTATTATTTTCTTCCATTCATTATCACCNCAGCCCGCGGAGTTCGTGCCGCTGGACGAGTTCTTCGCGAAGACAGGCGTGGAGTATTTTAAGGTTAGACGGTCTCCCCGAAGGAAAGTTCGCCGATTCGTCGGCGAATTTTTCGTAATCGCGCCAATATTTCATGTGGCTCCCTCGATCATGGTGTCATTTTCCGGGTTTGGAACGCCGACTTCCCCTTGACACTCGTAACTCATGACTGACTGACTCATGATTGACCTTGAGTGCCCGATTGCAAGTCGCAATCCCGCTCCTTCCTTCCTGCATTTCTAGTGGCAGGCAGCCTGTCGGCTTTGTATCGCCCCATCACTATTGGTAAAGCTCGCTCAATGTCGAACTGCTTTCCACACGTGAGGTTTGTTCCTTTCAGATGAACCTTTTTTACACCGGCGCAGGTGCGCTCGATTTGATAAAACCGAAGTTCTGTAACTGTCGTGAAAACAATGGTGGTTGGATGAAAATAAAAGATAATAATTGAAAAAAAAGTATAGTAATATTGCTAATAATGATGAGTAAAATAAAGTATAATAAAAAATACTGCTAATAAATGAAGTATAATAATGAGATATAGATATCATTTTCATCGAAGTTATGCAGCTATGCATTGTTCAATTTGGCCTATTTTTTACGATTATGAAGAGTTAATTTAATCTACGCAAATTGTTAGCGAATGCACTCAAAATGTTAGAGTGCACCGCTCCGGCTGGATCTGGCCAGCACAGGGCACGGAATGCAGTGAAGGATCGGTGTCAGGAAAATAGTTAGGAACTCGAGTGCAGTTAAGGCAATAGTTTATTTAGTCATTGAGACGAGACAGAGTGGCAATCTGGCCCTTACCGTTCAAGGCGTGAGGTGACGTCCTTCGGTTTGTCGAACAAACGTGTTCAGAAATCGCTCGAACGGCCTTCCTGGGCGCCCGCCAGTGCCGAATTCTTCGCAGCGTTTGACGATCGGAATGGTCTTGTTCTTCTTATTGTCCGCCACGCGCAACCACCATTGTAGGATGACGTTATTTCGACGATGACGACGTTCAAAATGAGAAATATAATTTAAGGTGATGACCGAGAGATCGCTCGCGAGTTAGTCGCGAGGACGCGGATGTTACATCGCAACGCGATGATTCGAGATAGTGAGCATTGAGTTCTCGCACGGAGAGTAGTTGAGACCGTAGCGAGTCGAGAAAAGCGAATAATTAGAATAGACTAAATTGCTCTAACTTCTTTGTGCTCACTTCTGATCTGTCGCGCCCGAAGGCACCCAGTTTTATAAGGTTATTGGTGCCAAGCGGAACGAGCTTATTAGTTATCCTCCGATCGAATGAAGCATTAGACAATGTCCAAATATGCTAATGTTCTGTGATCTGGATCGACGAGTCTATTAACCTTATTATTTAGACTCTTATTATTAGGCTGTTCTTATAATAGATACAAGATGTCGAGGGTTTATCCGCTTTTATATCGCGGGTCTCCTTTTGTTATCGGTTGTCAACCCTCATATTGTGTCGAGGAAGCAATTCGATTCTCGCATCATGCTCGCTTCACGTGTTGTGACAATGATAAATTGAAACTCTCTCTGTTTATAGCTAATGGAAATTCGAATTTTGAACACAAATAATATTTTATGAGATGAGCAAAAATATTCTGAGTTTTAGATTTCATACAACCGAGACAATAATTTAAATTTTATTTATCTTCCCGCTCTTTTGCGGTTTTAAAGCATTGACATTTGGCCTTCTAAAATGCCATGCGGTTTTGGCGTTTGATGCTCATAACTTCAAAAATCAGTAGTGTTCACGATGGCGATAACAGAAGAGCATATTCGATTTTCCATCCACTTCGCGTTTCATCCGAAGAAAAATGCTGCTGAAGCCACTGAAATGGTTTGTGCTGCATATAGAGAGAACGCTGTAAGTCATGTTACGTGTAAAAGATAGTATCAAAAATTTCGTCAAGATTTCAGTCTTGAAGATGAACCGCGTGCTGGACACCTTCAAAAGATTGAAACGGACGAATTGCAAGCATTGCTGGATATAAACTCTGCACAAACTGAAAAGGAACTTGCAGAACAGCTTGCAGCAAGCCATTTTCGTACGTTTACATATAATGGGAAAGTTTCAGAAAGAAGGTAGGTGGGTTCCGCATAAACTGTCCGAAGACAACAAAAACCGACGGTGTGACACTGCACTCACTTCGCTTTCAAAGTTCCGGAAAAGAGATTTTCTGCACAAAATTATGGCGATGAAAAGTGGATTCTTTATAACCCTAAGCGTAGAAAATTATGGGTTGAACCTTTGACATTGACGCCAAAGCCCAATATCCACGCCAAGAAGGTTTTGCTCTGTATCTGGTGAAATTGGAAAGGTGTGTTTTATTACGAGTTGTTACAACCGGATAAAACAATTACGGCAGACCACTACCAACAACAATTGACCAATTTGAGCGATGCATTAGAAGAAAAGAGGCCATTTACTGGGCAAGGAAGTTATAAAGTGATCCTGCTTCATGACAATGCCCGACCACATATTGCAAAAACGACTCAGGACATATCTTTGCGTTAGGCTGGGAACTTCTCTCGCACGCGGCGTATAGCCCAGACATAGCGCCTTCCGATTACTACCCATTCCGGTCGTTGCAGCATCACTTGGCTGATATACATTTCGTGAGATTTTAAAAGATACGAAAATGCGTTGATGACTTTATCGCTTCGAAGCCGGTGAGCTTCCATCGTCAAGGAGTTCGCAAACTACCCGAAAGATGGCAAAAGGTCATTGATGCAAACGGAGAATATTTCGCTGATTAATAGTTTTTTGTTTGTTGTTGAATAAAGATTGAATTCTGCAAAAAAAAGCTTAGAACATTTTTGCTCATCTAATAATACACCTAGTATAAAAAAATGCGTCTAATTTGCCGTCGGATCGTTCTGTTTAAGAATAAAAAAGTCGCCTAACATGTCATTGAATAGAGAACTTGAAAATAAGATCTAATCCGTTATTGATTTGTACTATTTAAAAATTAAAAGGTCTAACTTGAGCCAAAATTCAACAAAGTATGCGTCTCAAAAATAATCACAAAAACACACTTTTTCTCGAACTTCAAAGTGTTGTTCCCCTTAAAACAATTACATTCAAATATTTGACTCATTTTTGCTAAAATAAGGAACAATCTTATGCGGACATAACTTTGAAAGTTTTTGAACTTTTTTATAATGTTAAAATAATTGTCTTTCAGGTAGATCATCTGAATTACGAAAAGGATGATACTTTGATAAAATTACGACAGGATCGCTCTTACACATACGAAGATGAGATAACGTGCTCCAAAGAGTGCTTACAAAATTACGAGGAGAAGGTACGAAAGATAAAATTAATGTCCAGTTAAACTCAAGGATTATAGTTAGTGTGCGATTCTCATCTCTCATGACATATAAAATAATTTTTTTTTATATCAAATGAAATAATCACACCTTTTAGATGGATCTATAAATCTCTGATATCTCCAATCATTAGTTTTCTTCAAAATTCAACTTATTCGTTTCAGCTAAAGAATTTCTATACCGAGCACCTTCACACCGACGAAGAGATCCGTCTGGTTCTGGACGGATCAGGTTATTTCGACGTACGGGATAAGGACGATCAATGGATTCGAATTGAAGTGAAGGCCGGCGATCTGATAATTATACCGAGTGGAATCTACCACCGTTTTACTCTGGACTCTGACGTAAGATTTCAATGCTCACAAATACATTCCTTTCTCTCAGCCTCCACCTACAATAGGTGCATTAAACCCTAAACTTTAAAAAATTTATCGATCACAGATCGATTATTCTCCTTATATTCGACTGTGATTGGTTAACTTCTTAAGGTTTAAAACACTTACTATAGACCGGGACTTACGATCTTTAAAGTAAAAAAGATCAAGTAGATTCTCTAAAGTTTTTTTCGTTTTTTCAAATTATAAATTATTCATATTACTTTTCTATAAATTACTTACGGCGTTTTTAAAAATGTTATATTTTCATTTTTAAAGAATTAAAAGATTGCAAAACGAATAATTTATAAATATTACAAATAATTTCTTAAAATATAGGGGACACACGTGGAACATAACTTGTTCGTCATTCGTTTTAGAATTACGTGAAGGCGAAGAGATATTTTGTGGGGGAGCCGGTTTGGCTGCCGCACAACAGGCCGGCCGATAACATGGAATGCCGGAAGATGTACCTCACACGGATGGAAAAGGGCTTCGAAGTGCCTCCAGTTTAATAAACTACGTGCCGATACAACGGGCTTTCGTGAAAACATATTGGAGCGAGTCGGAGAAACAAGTTCCGTCTTATAGATATGTAGAGAAAGATAAATACTCGCTAGCTGTATCTCGGATATTGCTTACGATTCAACCCGATGTTTTTCACATATTCCATATTTTGTACGACTTTTGAATATTAATATGTCACGTTTGCGTTATATACAAAGACGGTAGCTGTAGCAACATTTGGAGCAGCTGTATATACAATCCTTTTAACATATATTTGAATAAAAGAGGAAACTGCGCTTTTATCGAAAAGTTTTTACAATCGTTCAACGGAAACCTTTATATGTGTAATTCTTGATTCATTGTCAGACCAGTGCTCGACAATAATATAATACAATGTTAAATTAATCGCTAAAACATTGATCCATATTCCTTGTTTATTTATTTTTCAATTTTCTTTATTTTCTGACATTAGGTGTAATTACCTTATCATTTATTTGTAATAAATGTTTAGAGAAATACCTCTTTGCAATCATACATTTCCGCAATATATATTTTTCAACATTAACACTTACGTACAAACGAAAGAACCTTATATAGTATAATACGAATACTGAAAATTTCATCGAGATTTGGTAAGAATATAACAAATTTATATACATTTTTCTTTGCTTTTCCTTTTTTTTCTCAGTACGTCATATCCAATGAAGTAACACTTGGTAACAATTAACATGATTCTCTTCGCCATATCTCAATTTCTCTTTAACGGGAAACCCGATATTATTAAATTACGATGAGCAGCATTGCGTGTTGTGTTCACAATCGTAAAATGAATCGTTATCAAATCGTAAAAAGTTGTTTCGCGCACAAATGTTACAATGTATTAAATATCGCAGTTAGTATCTTAAAATTACAATTCGTTCAAAACTATACATACGGAACTTTAGCAAAAACGTAATATGTTTTTCACGCAAAGTTAAACTATCATATACATATATACTTGATATAAACACACTTGACACATTTCTCTCACACTCTTCCGTCGGATATTTGATAAAAATCTGTCGTTGTTACGATAGAAATTGTAAAAACTAACTGTACAAATGGAGAGGTAGAGGTATGCGCGAATACAACGTTTCGGTTTTTTCTTCGAAGAATTAAGTACGAAATCGTCCTACACATCTTTTTACACTTAACCCGTTGCGGTCTTATGTCGAGCATCACTCGACACAGCGTTTCGTTCCAGCAAGTCCTATGTCGAGCGACACACGCGTTTCGTTCCAACGCGTCCTATGATGCGACAGAGTCGACGTTGACAGAGTCTTCATCGTACGCTAAAAGAGATAAGATAAGAGCTGTGATGTAGCATCATAAATGTTTTCCAAAGTAAACGGTACCAAGCGGATGAGCGATTGGCGAAATCTGTGCGGACCGGCTGGGACGAAATTGCGAATACAGCGCGGACGCAAATATTGCGCGAATACCGCAACGGGTTAAAGTGTGCTTTTTTTATGTGCTTCTGTCCCTTTCAGCTGCTTTTTTAAATTTTCATCTTTCTCTGCAAACGGTGCAACGCTCAATGTGCAGGGCAAGTGCGAGGAAGTGCTGCTAAAACGAACTTTTTTATTTATACATTTATACATTATTGCGCTAAAAGTTCGCACTAAACACCACGCCCGATGTGCTGTTTCTTTTTTGAGAACTCTCCTCCATCACTCCAAACTTCTTGTATTCGCCCACCTTCTTTTCGAAAAAATTCGTCTTGCCCTCCAAGGAGATAAAGTCCATAAACGAGAATGGATTCTCCGAATTGTAGACCTGGACAATGTTTTTTAAATGTTATGTGATAATAATAAAAAATGGAAAAAACGCAGATATGTGACATGGTACAATATGGTTTAGTTTCCATCGGTCTCGAGAAGTGTGTCAACTAATAATTTTTTATTAGATCTTGATATCAACTTAATATCGTGTACGCTGTTTACATCATATCGTCGATATCAAGATAATCTAATAGAAAAGTTAATATATGTATCAAGTGATCACTGTAAATTAAACCTATTTGTAGAGTAGAGATGTTAATAAATTAGAAATTGAGAAGTATTGATAAATGTTAATAGATGCAAATATACTGTGATCGTTACCTTTTCGAATCCTAATGCAACGAATAATCTATCCGCGACGAATTCGATGTAGGTGCACATGAGTGCGCAATTCATTCCTATCAGCTGTACCGGCAATGCCTGTGTCAAAAATTCCTTTTCAATTTCAACAGCGTCCATGATGATAGTTTTGACGCGCTCGAACGAAGGTTTTTGTATGACGTGTCTGAACATCAAACACGCAAAATCGCAATGCAATCCCTGGAATAAGCGAAAATTAAATATTCTTAATAACGTTAAAATTTACTTAGGAAAAAATAGCAGGAATCAAAAACAATAAAGTATAAAAATGAAGGAAATTAAGTATAAAAATATGTAAAAAAATATATTTTATATAATATCTCAATTTTATTTTTCTATTTAATTTCATCTTCTATTATCTTTAAATATGTTTTCTCATATTTTAAAATTACTAAATTTTCAAGCAACATTATTATTATATAAAATATCTTACTAATTTATATTAAAAGAATTAAAAAGTAATAAATATAAAGAGCATTAGAGATAAAGAGCGAAGATACGAAGCAGTAAAAAAATTACCGTGAATTATACTGACCTCGTCTCGCGAAATAAGCTCGTTGCTGAACGTGAGACCCGGCATCACTCCTCGCTTCTTCAGCCAGAAAATGGCGGCGAAACTGCCGCTGAAAAATATTCCCTCGACCGCAGCGAACGCGATTACACGTTCCGGGAACGTTGCACTATCGTGATTGATCCAATTCAACGCCCAATTGGCTTTCTTCGCGACGCAGGGCAAAGTTTCGATTGCATTGAACAGGAAATCTCTGCAAATGAAGATCATGCACTGATTAGTAACAATGTACACAGATGATACACGGATGTTTTAGATTGATGCAGTATATACATGTTGCAGAAAATTGGAGCTACTTCAAGAACCATCACTGTTTAAAATACGTAAGTTTCAAGACTTCTGTTTCCTCGCTGCAATTATCCTGATTAATGAGTCGGGAACCAGAAAAAATGTATGCACAAAGTTCTTGCAGAGCATATTGAAATAAAAAAATATAAAATAATATTTGCAAACGATTCAAGTACATTTGTAAAATATTCCGAAAACCTATCTTCTTCTTTAATAACCAATAGTTGTGAAATTAATGTGACAAAATTACGGAAAAAGATAGCCTAAAGAGGGAGATTGCATGCTATGTTAATTTGATGATTATTTATTGATCGTCAGATCGTCTTTTTGCTTCAACGTATTTCGCAAGAATTTTAGGTATAAGTTTTCTTACTTCCGACGTCATTAAACGAAATGACTGCAGCGAGGAACCTTGATGAATGAAAATTTAGAATTAATCTCTTTTTCTTGATTGAAATGGCTTTAGCAAAAATTTCTCTACTCAATATTTTGGCTCTGTTTTTAATGTATTATATATTTTGTATACTTTTGTATAATACAATATTGCGATTATACTCACTTCTCTTTCGGATCGGAGATGTAGGTCTCGATAAGCAAGGAATACATCTCGGAGTGGATGTTCTCTATAGCGATCTGGAAGCCGTAGAAACACCGCGCCTCCGAGATTTTCACCTCTTGGCAGAATCTCTCAATCAGATTTTCATTAACGATGCCGTCGGAGGCGGCGAAGAACGCTAACACGTGGGATATGAAGTATCTCTCGTCGGAATTTAGTTTCTCATCCCAATCCTTCTTATCCAGCTGTGAAAATTGAAAAAAAAAGAAATATATCAAATATACGAAAACCTTGTTTCATGTCTCGTAACGTTTTATTTAGTCAAGATAGAGACTCACTTTATGAAGAGGGACTTCCTCTATGGTCCAGAAAGAGGCGACGGCTTTCTTGTACATATCCCAGATGTCAGGATACTGAATGGGGAAGATTACAAAGCGGTTCGGTTCTTCCTGAAGCAACGGTTCCAGATCTGGATTGAAATCCTCTTTCAGCTGCACTTTGCGCACAGCCTTCGTCTTGGGAAGCTGCAAATGATATAATTTTCTTTATTGAATACTTGTAAAAGTACTTAATTTATTTCTTTTATATTATAGAAATTTGTAAAGTATATCATTGCAATTTGAAATATTTTAACTTTGTCAATTATATGAAAGAATATTTTGATACAAAATATATACAGGATAAGAAGAGAGAATGAGGGAGAGACAATAACTATTACTACCTTAAATATCTTTGAAATATGAGAGCAATAATCAACATTTATTTAACAGAAATGATTTCGACACCAATGGTCGTTACTTCGAACGTCTTCTGCAAAAACAAACCCTTTTCATCTTCATCTAGTTGTTAATAAGACATTTTTATCCTCCGAAGATATTCAAAGTGGCGATAATTATTACCTTACCCGACATATCGAGAAGAAATTATGCCTACCCCATTTTTCAATCCGTGATCCTGGGATAGAGTTGGCGAGATGCATGATTTCTTTGGCGATGTCTGGAAAAAGGAAAACACCTGATCAGTATAAAATATAAACGTGATATTCCCTGTCGTCTCTAAAGATGTGCGAGGTTAGTAAGGAATTATACTTAAGGATCAACCAATTCACTACAATATTGCACAGTGGTTCTCGATCCATTTATCTGTATTGTTGATGTTACAGGAAGCTAAATCATACTGTGACATCGCGAGGAAATGACATGATGCAATTTAACAAACACAATATCGCAACTGAAATATCTTATCCCGGTGTCATGCAAATGCAATCGCGACGACTTGTAATACCTTCGAATCAACATTATCCTCATAGCCACGTTGCGTCACTCGAGGAAATTTTCCGTATATTCATGACAAAGCGAAATGAGAAAAGAGTTGCAGGACATGTTGCACAATTATGCGCAACAAGAATCCATATTTCCGCGGGAGTATCTCGCGAAAACGTTTCACGAGTCGACGATGAATCACTTCGCATGCCACGTGTGTACGTGTGTACGTGCTGCTAAAAATATTTTAACCTAGAGGAGTATTGATGAGCACTCGGAAGGAAGGTACTGCGGCTGGCCTTACGGACGAATTCGCGAGGTGTTATTCGTGATTTCGGGGTTTGGTTTACCTTTTCACCATTCATTCCAAGCTAATGACATCGACCGAGGAGCCGTGCGACGTTATTAAAGACATTCTGAGACATTCCGAGCGGCGAGTACTGGCCATCTCAAGCCCTGTGTTGAACGCGCGCGCATAGAAACACATATACGCGGTAGTACGTGTCCGTGCAAATCGTTGGAGGCGGAGTGTAAATGCATTTGACGTGCAAAACGCATATTTGTTTGATATGACGCATAAATAACCTCGCGTTCAGAAGTGCATTTTTTGCGGTTTTCCTGCCTACACTCGACTGTGTCACACGTTAATTCATACGCCTCGGTGGCACGTGTCCGAACATAACACGGTGAGGAAAGTTGGACGTCCATAGTGCGAGACCAGTAAAATCATGAAGGATTTATCTGTAAAATCATAAACATAACTGAACAACGGAGTCATGATAGTTTCACATTGCATAAAAAATCAATCGCCTCGGACTATTAAAGGTGAAAAAGGCGATTACACAACTCAAATCTATCGGTGATCGCATTTGAACATTAATCAACAGTTCCTCAGGACAGTGTTCTTTTCAGCTCCAAAATAATGTATTTCCTTATCTCTCATTTCTCAAGTATTATGAATTTATTATTATTACTGTTATAAATTTTATAAAACAATCAATTCAGTTTTCTCTCACTTTTGGAAAAATGTCATTCTATTAAAAAAATTAAAAGAAGGAAAGTGTAATTGCATCCTCGTAAAAATCAAAAAAGATTCTATAGAAAATGGAGATACGCCATTTTGGTTCTAATGAATAATACCGAGTTCTACGTACGAGGAAGTATACGCCCTACACACAAAATATATACACTGTCATACACATACGCACACATGTTGCATACATACATATACTATCACAGAATGAATATATACCAGACGTAACATATATACATAAACACATACATAATACACATATACAAGTTATGTACATCGGAATTAAAAGATACAAGGAAAAAACAAACAGAATTCCCGCGTAATTTACACGAAGACTCGCAGGCTCTGAATTGGGAGGCATGCCTGAGAGAAGTCCGTTAAAAAAACTTCACAAAAAAAAAAGCTCGCTAAGCTCAGCGTATGATCTCTACGCTATTTACTACGAGCAGCGATTGTTCGTCGTTCATTCGCTCGTTTACACAAGTGTGTAGAGGCGAAAATGAGAACTGACTCGACAATAATGATCAGGCCGAAGTCGCGGCTCGAACGAAGCGTAAATTTCGCCGAACTCACGTGCAAGGAAACATCCTCGAGATGCTTGCGAACGTTCTCCTTGGTGGACTCGTGCAGCGGCATGACTATGATTTAAAATTGGGACTTGTTTGTGGATTTTCTATCGGGCGTACGACGACGATGGCACAGGTAGGTGAGAAGTGATGTGAGCGAGCGAGCGAGGAAGAAGCAACTGACCAACTCCCGGAATGAAACTGTAATAAACGTTCGGGCCGCCGTTTGATTGGATCTCACGGCCGGCGTTTCGCGCCCAAATATGGCGCACCAATCAGCTGGTGGCCGCGTTGGCGCCCAAATTCGGCGATTCTCGGTTGCGACGGTCAAGCGCGGCGAATCTTGCGCGAGAATATTCGTCGAGGAGTTTTCACGACGATAGGAAGCTGCGTCTCGGCGATTCGGCGCGACTGATCATCGCCGAGTCGCTCAATCCATCTCGACGCTTTCCCGCGCGCTCCGTGAGACTGCGCGATGCGAGATTGCTGTATCAGTGAATATTTATCGCTACAAGAAGGGCGATCATGATGTGCGTATTTATTGCGTGAGAAGGTACCTCAGGTGCATGTATGCCTAGCTATTCCCTAGACCGAGAGTTTATTTCACTCATTTGACGTTGGGCCGCTGAATGGGTGCAGGCCTCCTATACCATTTGCAAGTTAGATCGAGGGTTACTAAATTTCCTTCCGGACTATAGCCAGTATTCACAGTTGGATCTTAAAGCCTTTGCACGTAACAAATTTTTAGTCGTAATCGTAATTCCGTAAAATGGACCAATCGCAGTCGATTATTTTCCAAGCACAAAGGGAATAATCGTTCGTACGGGACGTCGATGATAAGTTGTTTATTTGTTTATTGTCGAAATTTGTTTATTTGTTTATTGTTTTTGTGTACTGTTAATTGTTTATTGTCGACTAGCTTGTTCGCAATAATTGGAAAACCATTCTCCGTGACCAGGAGCTTGAGGTTCATTGTTAAGCCCGTATCAGACTACGGATTAGGATTGAGATTGGTTTGTAATTTGACGAATCAGAGCAAAGTTCACTAAACTCCAACACTACGGATTAAGATAGAAATTGGATTGAAACTTGATCAATCAGAGCAAATTCGACTAAATTTGAGTTTAGTGAACTTTGTTCTGATTCATCAAATTACAATCCAATTTCCATCCTAATCCGTAGTGTGATACGAAACATTACATATGTTGTACGACGAATATTGACGGATGTGCTGATTGGTTGTCTAATAGAGAATTGCTAGAGTGTCTAGAGAAAATGTTAGGGACACTAGAAATTCTCTATCCGACAGCAATCGATATATCTGACAAACTAGTCCTACACACGTGTAATATCAGCTCTAATATTTGTCATTAATTATTTAAGAAGTAACGAATTGTACAATTCCATATAATTTCCATTACTTTTTCTCGTCAACTTTAAAGCCTTTTTACGATTTTTCTACAATTTGGAGCATTTTACAATTCAATGTTAATTATCTGTATAGACGCATATGTGCAAAACAACGATAAAAGTAACTAATATATTCGTTACCCTTATGCAAAAGATATAATTACGTTAAAATTATCATTACTAATGAGGAAAAGTAACTTAACTACAGTTATTGAGAAGTTTGAAAAAAGAAAAACTTGCAACGGCAACAATTCACAATGTATTATTTTCTAAGGCCTGGTTGCACCAACATTATATTGCTTTCAAACGAGACTTAAACATGTGTTTATCATTATTCTTCTTTTTAAATAAATAAAGACAGAAACATACTTAAGTTTTGCTTAAAATCAAAATAACGTTACCGCAATGACCTGACTCTATTAAATATTAACGAATTCGGTGGTAAATACCGCTTCTACTGGACTTTCCGACTGAGCGTAAAGAATATGAGAATAAAAAGTTATCGCAAAAGTTATTGCAACTTGGAGCATACATTCATTTACAATATGACATGTTAGATTCGCAGGAGGAAAATTATATCGACACTTCTCGTGTTTCCTCGCAATGAAAGACAAATACGTTCGGGAGACTGTTGCAATTAAACCATATTTATTTGAATAATTATTAGAATAGTAAATGTAGATACAATAGAGAACGTTTTTAGCAGGCCAATTATCCAGCAATATTTCACGAACTATATCGTTATCTCTTTTCTTTTCTCTGGAACAGATGCATCTTTCAAGGTATACGCGCATCAATCGAACGTATAAAAAGTTCGATAACAATAAAAAGAATCGTTGATTGGGGTGACAATAATAATAATCTCAATAATTCAATGAAATAATAACGATCTCATGGCGAATGCATGATAGCACCACCGTTAAAACAATTAAAAGTATCATGACACTGTACAAAGATAAATCACATTGTTACAAATTCGGAAACTGTTAAAATTTCTTTTTTTTGCTTCTATACACACATATTCCGTTCCTCTCCGTCCTTCCTTTCTTCCTCCCCCCCCCCCTCACTCTCCCACTCTCTCTTTCTCTCCTTCGATCTTATCTTCTCTATCTCTTTTTTTCTTTTCTTATTTTTTATACATATATGTAAATGGCATCGTCGATCAACGGTCTAAAACAACAAAAATCGTAATAATTTACGTATAACTTGAGATTGCATTTTACGGCTCATTGTATCCGATTCTGTTTGTGTACGTGTGGTATGTGTGTGTTATGTATGCGTGTACGTAATACGCGTGTTTCTTGTGTATAGGGTAAATGATTATTCTTCCCGTTACGTATGCGGACGTTAAAATATGTTTCTCGTCCGTTTGCGTATGCATCCGACAATTGTGTGCTGCTTGCTGCTTTTAAATGGCATCGATATCGAAGTCATCGTCGGAGTCATCGTCATTGGCGGCGGCGGGCTTCTGCGCAGGCGGTTGTTGCTGCTGTTTCAGAGGTTGCTGCTTGGCTCTATCATCATACTCAATCTGGAAGGAAAAGGTAACATCGTATCATTGTAAAGCAACATTGTTACACGCATATGAAATAATAAGATTGGAAAGTAACGTAGTGTTAACCCTTTCGCTCCGACGGGCGTATATATACGCCCTCGGAGAATGACCATTCATAAACGAAGAGCGTATACATACGCTCTGGAAAAATGAGCGCTGAAGTACGAAGAGCGTACATATGCGTTCATACCATATATACTTTTATTTCATACTTTACATGAGATACTTTTGTTAATCGAGTATCTGGCAACGCTGCCTCAAATAGTTGACTATCATGAAATAAAACACTACCGACGAGAAAAAATAAATTAAATTATTAATTAATAATAAATTAAATTATTATTAAATTAAAAAAATAAATTATGATTATAAATTTTTATAATTTAGAAAGTAAAATGATATTACTAAATATAATAAATATCATTGTAAAATTTAGAGAACAAGAAACGACTTCTACTTACTTCGTAGCATTCCATACCTCAGTGTCAACTACTCAGTAATGCGCTCCGTTCACAGCGATCACATTTTGTCACAAGCGCTCCGTAGCGAAAGGGTTAATATCGTCAATGATATGAATTATTTTTCTAGTAACGACTTAATAACGGTGTTATCTTCCTTCATTTTAACATTTTCTTCAGTAATAATAATAATATCGTAATAAGTTGTTAGTGTAACGGTAACTAATATAATTGTTACTTTTGTCATTACTTTCCGCATATAGAACGCCATCCTAAATAGGATTGGAGATAGAGAATTAAAAAAAAGAAAAAGAAAAAGAAAAATGAAACTCTAAAATTTGGTGGAGCGAAGTAAGACAATAGTAAATAAATTGCAACAACTCATTACTTCTTGAATAACGATGATAGTAATGAGTTATTTTTCAACGAGTCGCAGTAACAAGTTACTTTTAAAATGTAATTTCCTCAACCTTGCCGCTGACAATAAACAAAGAGATGGGCAAAGATAACTAAATTGTTTCTGCGAAACAAAGTTGCGCCAATGAAACGATAATGAGTTGCCTTAAGAAGCTCGCTACGTTTAAAAGACACAATGATTGTGCAAGCGTTCGCCATCTTTGTCGATATTCTATTCTAGATCTCTATCATGGAGATTTAAAAGTATGTCCCCCAATAATCACTCAACGACTGCACAACCGTTGTTTTCTAAACACACTTTTTTCCAACCCCATAAAGTATAGTTCTTATTCACCAATCGTTTGATGCGCGTATTAAAAAGTAACTTTTTACTAAATTATTTTAAATTTCTTGACAACGTATATAAACGACAGCGTATTTAAGCTGATACGATGCACATCAAGAAGACATATTATACTAATTTAACATATCATTGTTTATATGTATGCATGTGCATCGAAATAAAGATAACTGCATAAAGAATTACTAATTGTATCAAATTACCACAGTATTAAACAATCAATGTAGGTCATGGATAATATGTCAAAGTAATTCCAAATTTATCCGACGAAGCACTTACTTCCAAATCGGATTCAGACTCAGACTCCTCCTCCTCAGCGACCTTCAACCACGTGAGGAACGGCACAGCTCTATCGTGAATCTCTTGAGACAGGTCCTTCGAAACGTACTTCTTGCTGACTTTGCTCGACCACTCGTCGAACGCCTTCTCCTCCAGAATATCGGCGTCGTAGAACAACTGCAGGTGGAAAACCAATTACAAATTTATCCTCGTGTCAGCCTTTGGCGATTGATATAAAATATATAAAGAGGTAAACTATTTGTGGCATTTATTATTTACATAGCACTATCTTTTTGCAAATATAACAGCTTTCCCTTAATAAAAATGCCGAGGGAATGTCGAGTTATTATTTATTAGTACACTCGCTTTTGCTTTCTTTCCGTTGACGTTAAGAGAGCGCATCAAATGGTCACGATTGCGAACAATTGCTCATGCTTGTCCAATAATCGGTCGTGACAGGAGCCAAAGTGATAGTTAGACGGTGTGAAAATTAATTTGATTAAGATGTGACGTGTTATCCCGTGGGAATCATTACATCCTGAAAACGTACATTCGCGAACTAAATATGCACGTTGCTAATCATAAATCTGAATTGATCTTATTACTTCGTAGTAACGAAATTCTTTAAAATATTCCGCAAAGTCATATGAAATAGGTGTAAATCAAGTTGCAATAAATATATGCATAATATATATGCTTTCTTTATATGTTCTTTCCTAATATGAAAAATATGTTAAATAGATGCCTAAGTCTTATGAGTCCGTCAAATGTCAACACAAAGAGTTAATTAAATAATTAACTGTCATATTAGCACATATGACAATACTTTTTTTTTAATTGAATACTATTCTTTCATTATTCCTAAGAAGTTGATTAACCGATTAATTCTGTTTTCAACGAAAAACTCCGTAATATATGTCTTTTATTTCTAGAATTTCTCTTTGTTCGAGAAAAGGATCTTGGATAGTCCAGCAAATGGAAATATATTGAAATGTAACTTAACTGGATCCAAGTATTGCATTTTATTTTATTTAATTAAATGTGTTTGAAAATTCGATCGTAAGTAAAAAAAAAACCAGGATTCGATAGGTTAAAATCCTAGTTATATTGCTATATTTCTATCTTTTTCTAAATAAGACAATCTTAAAGCAATAATTAGCTATTCAGCTAAAGTTCCAGTCTTATATTTATGACTATGGCAATGAATGTGCGAAAGCCTTAAGTCGAGTAAGAAGAAAATGAGTAATGTGAGAAGAAATGCCCTTGAATAAATGAAGAAAGGTGAAAAAAGTGAGTCGGACTCCCACGCGCTTGGGCCCACCTTGAAAATACCCGGGACCTTCGGCATCAGGGCGTCCTTGTGCAGGGCGATGACTTGCTCGATACCGCGTATCAGGTACCTCTGCGCCTTGATGTCGTCGTGGGTGAAGCGCAGCAGCAGTACGCGATACTTCTTCGCCTGGGCAGCGATCGCTTGGTCGAACAGCACTTCGGCAAGGATCAACGGCGCCTTGGTCTTGATCTCCAGCCTCTCCGCTTCGGCGATCAGCTCTTTGTGATTGTCGAGCTGGCCGGAATCGCGACGACACTTGACGAGCTTGTAGAACATGTCCATGCGCTCCTTCTCGGTCTTCTCGAGATCGTCGCTCATAGTCATACCCTTCGCGCCGTCCGTCAGATCCTGAAGACGGGCGCGCACAGCCTCCTCGGACACGTCCACCGCCCACTTATCGTCGTCCTCCTCGTCGTTCGCCACATTTCGCTTAGGCGGCTCCGCGATCAGCAGGTCCGCGGCGTTGTTGGCGTCGTGGCCGCTCTCCGGCGAGCCAGATCGGTTGCCGTTGGTGGTGGCGCCGGTGGTGGCGACGGTCGGTGTCGTGATCGTCGGGGAGGCGGTGGCGTTGTTGCCGGTGGCAGTGGCGCCGGCGGTGGCGTCGGCGCCGTTCGCTGCGCGCTTCGAGCGCTTGCCGCGCTTACCTTCCGTCAGCGAGCTGCCCTGCACCGCCGGATTCAAGCTCGGCGGGTTCTTGAGGATGTACGTGTTCAGCTTGTGATTGCTCTCCAAGAGGCCATGATGGCCGCAGGCCTTGCAGCCTTGCGAGATTGTGCCCTTTTTGGAACTAACCATCAGCTCGGTCTCCGGATTGTCGCACGCCGGGCACAGCACGTACCTGCGAATGAATCCGTCAAGTAGGTCCTGCAGCTTCGTGGCGTCGTGTGAGCCGTTTACGATGAACCGCTCGTTCTTGAAGTCGAACTGCGTCTGGGCTCCCAATTCGCAGCCGAAGTACTTGGTGGGATACGTGGCCGGCCGGCCGATCGCCTTCGCCACGTCCACCATGTTGACGATCACGGTCTTGATGCCGTTGCCTTTGCCTTCTACCTTGGCCTGGATGCGAGGCATCTTGTAACGGTAGAAGGCATCGCTGATGTTGCGGTTGACGTTGACGCTCCCCATGATAATGACTTCCGCTTCTTGCTCCTGACTGGCTTAGCGATCCTTCCGGATAACAGCAATATCTCACGTGACGTCGTTGTGATGAGGTATTGAACGAAAGGCGACGAGAGAATCGGGCCTCGCTTTCTCTCTCTTTTCTTCCTTTTCCCGAGCGGCTCCCTCAAGATGATGTTGCCGGTTCACGCGGTTTCTTCCCTCCGTCCTCTCTTCTTTCTCTCCTTCAGGTGGGTAACGTCTTCGTCCTCGTTCTCCTAGATCTCCTCCCCACGCTCCTCAGCGGCAGTTTGACAGCTGCGTGGCGACGCGGCCAGGCGACGTGGGCGGCTACCCGCTGGTAGCTGTATGTGACGTGTCGAGTCAGGGTGCTTCTTCTCGTTATCCGCGGTAAGGCTTGCCGCACTACCTGCTGGCGCCAGTCACGTTTCTCTGAACGGCTGTAGCTTCCGATGCCTATTGCTGAAAGAAGCAGGGGTGTCGCTTTTACAACGACGAAATTCGAGCGAGCAGTCGATAAGAGTCTCTCACCAAATTTTCAGAATAATCTTGTAACCAACGTATGCGTTTATCGCAGATCGCCGACGGCGGGCCGCTCGCTCGTACCTGGAAAATTTTGAAGTCCTGTGCTTGGGCAGGACCAGGTGATTCAGAAATCGTTGGGTGGTATCTTGATGCAGGTGTTGCCTCCTCGGTTTGATGGGCGGAGGGGGATAGTCCTCAATGATCATACACGCTGCCTGTCCGTTGCTCGTTGCTCTAAGAAGAAAGCCTGGATGGTACCAGGTTGCCGGTGTCAGCTCACTGGCTATGCGCAACAACAAACGACTGCACCGATCGTGGGTGATGATGTTGCCGTTTGCCGGTACCTCGGATGACAGTGTCCTACTGCCGCCGCCTTTGCTATACGCCGATCCTTTCCCTCTGGATGATACCCTGGATGTTTCTGCAAGGAAAAGCAGACAGACCAGTCAAACCAATTCTCTTTGCTCTAATTCTCTCTTTCGAAATTCATGCGGTTTGTTTCACACGCAAAACATTCTATTTTTTATAAAATTCTATCTTCCTCTTATAAAATAGGACTTTTTCATACGTTTATTTTTATTATATATTTTATATAAAATAATGTAAAAATAAATAATAATAAAATAATAGAGAGAAATAAAAAAATATATATATATATATAATTTTATATATTTATGTAAAATTCCACTTTTTTATTTTTCTTTCTCGATATTATGAGATAGATTTTCTCTATTCCTATTTGTTATCGATTTTCCTATTATGAAATATTGATATGGGGTGATATATATAAAAGCGGAAATCATCGAAAAATATCCTTCGCGAGATATTTTTCGCGCACACATTTCGCAGGCCGCATGAAAAAATGTCAGAATAAAATATCGCGCGAAGAGTCTGCCTATCTCGATCATCCATGCTTTAATACTCCTGCCAATAAAGGAGTTATTTGCGACTCTCGACCCAATATTTCCGTTCTATTTATTAGATTATACGAACATCCGTGCAATTATAATCGCCGTAAATTGATCCCCTGTCGGAGGCAACACGATATCGAGATATCAAGGGATTTTCAGAGTAAGCGGACGTTCTCCCTCCGCACAGCTACGTGTCCTCTGCGTTATCGGTTCGTGTTTCGTCGATCTTATTTCTAGCATTCGAGTCTTCGCCGATATCCATGAAGATATGGAAACGTTTAACAGACAGACAGACAGACAGACAGATAGACAGACAGAGAGAGAGAGAGAGAGGGAAGTACACAGATACAGAATCAAGAGAGTCTGAAGTCTCCAACTCCAGCGAGATTCAACAGTTTCCAACTTCGCGACGACGGAGGAATTATCCTCGCCGAAGAAACTATCCTAGCCGTGAATTGCACAATTTTCGCGCATTGAATAACACGTTTTTTTCCTCCATTACTTTTTACTGTCTACGGGGCCACAATTTACTGCCTATTTTGTCACGATCAACTCTGACCTCGCTCTTATCATCATCGTTGTCATCACTTCGCAGCTTGCCGTAACACAACGAGCGACATTGCTCGGGTATGCGCGTTCCGAAGGCAGCGAAGCCAACCCGATGACGACAGCAAGGGGATATCTCATTCGGAGCGGACTGCTCCCGTTGGTGTGACTTCGATCCGCCGCAGGCGGGGCGCGGCAACATGTGGACGGGGAACTTGAAACGGGGGATTTTCGAGGAGGCGGGCGAGACGGATGGTCATCTAAGTGGAGCGCGTTTCACATTCGGCTGATAATTTCGGCTAACGGTCGTTCGTACGATTACTACGAGGCGCGGACGGTCGCGTTAATAGCAGCACCATGATAACCGAGAGAAAAGGAGGGTCTCGCCGCGTTGGGTGAACGTTGTCGAGAGGAGGATCGCAGAAACGCAGACGAGTTGTGTGTCGGAAATGACGAGCAACGCCTGTTCTCTCGCTTGAGAACAAATGCAGCCGAGTCGCGAATAAATGAAGGCTTGCCCGGGTAGCATTCGTTCTCGCGGCCGAAAGGAGAGAGAGAGAGGGGGGGGGGGGGNAGCAGAAAGCTCAGCTGAGCGTTTATTGTGATTATTGCCTGTGACTGGAGTATTCTTTTAAATCCTTGACAGATCCACGAGAATGTACCAATTGGGATCAATAATTATTAATTATTGAATTACCTTTTCTGCCGAAGCAAGTAATGTATGCGCGAAAAAGTTTGTATGTATTTGAAATGAACAAGCCGAACAAGCGTTTTGGTTGAAACAAAAAAACGGAGTTTCCGGTTTGTAAGAATCAAATTTAACTCGTAAGAATCGAAATTCTGTTTCCTTCACCAAAATGCGTTTCGTTCATACATTTTAGATAAATTCAACTAAATTGTTTATGTGTGTATATGTTTGCGATCTTGCTCGATTTATCCGGGCGCATTATTAATATGTATGCAGTATTAATAATATATTAATAATATACCGAATCGATAGAGAGGGTTATCCTCCCTCCCTCTCTCTTTCTCTCGAGGGTGCTTAATTATTTATAGCGTGAGATTAATCTCGGAATATTTATGGTGTCCGTCTCATTTCGTGCGCTTATGATATTAATACAAATTTACAGTGGAATTATATATTATATATTACGATGCAACATTAACATTACACGTGTGTACAGGCTGCGCCTCTCTTATCGCAAATAGTCATCCGTATATTTTCCTGTTATTTTAGATGGAAAAACGTGTCTCTCTCGGGGAGATCGTTTATTTTTAGAGAGAAAGAGAAAGAGAGAAGGGCACGAACGCGAATCTCTCACGATGAAATAACGAAAGCACCGCTTTTTTGCCGATCCACTTTGCGAGATAGGAGAGTTCGTACACACACACACACACACGCGCGCGCGCGCGCACGCACGCACGCACACGTACGTACGTACGTGCGTACATACGCATACAGGTGTGGCGTCAAATGATGAATCGAGGCCGTTAGAACATCGCGTGAAATTAATCTCGCGTCATAAATAATGAGACACAGTCAGTAAAGGTGAATTTCTATCGATTCAATGTCTCGGATATCCCGTCGTACGCGATGCGAAATAATAAGACACCTCTCTTTCACTTCCACTCCCGCCTCTGCACCCCTCTACCCCACTGCAGGATATCCTATCGATTCGGTATTCGAGAGAGAGAGAGAGAGAGAGAGAGAGAGAGAGAGAGAGAGAGAGATCTGAAATGCGACTTATGTTTCCCAGAGCGCTCTCTCTCTCTCTCTCTCTCTCTCTCTCTCTCTTGTATAGCAGGGTCCGTAATTTTGCACCAGGCGTTGTTTACAATATAACTGGTGTTACTAATATTGATTCGTGCGCTCCATTTATCGCGCTATAAACGGCGTTTTTCCATTAAGGTGGCTGCTGCTGTTAAGGTACCTCTTCGCAAGACGCTATCGGCCCGCTCTAATTCGATATTGACATAACGAGGAGGAGAACGACGTGACAGACGACCCGTTGTCGTCGTCGTTGTTGTTGTTATTCGTATTCTCTTTCCGTTCGCTAGCAGCCGCGAGCAGTCCCCTATGAACGTGCGCAATTAGCCAGCGAGAAAGTACGTTTCTCGCCGACATTCTCACAGAGAAACTCGATCGCGAAGTTTTGACATAATGTTCAAGCATTATTCATTGCGCTCGCCCGCGCGACTATCGTCATCGATAAGGCATACCACGTGCGTTCGTGAGCTTTCGCGTTCTTCTTGAGCTACGTCAAGGTGGTAAGATCGCCAGTTCTTGATCGTGTATATATAGAAGCCGACTTTACGTTTAAATGTATCTCTTTCTCGCGTGTCTTTCAATAATATCCCGCAAGTGTGGAATAATTGTAGATAATCATGATTAGCCTCTTAGTCCGGTCGCTTCGCATCTCTGAGAGAAAAGAAACGGTTAATGTCACATAATTATAGTTATTTTGACGCCAACTGTATTTCTTTGTTGTTTTAATGAAAAACTAGTCGTAGTAATATGCATACAAGTTTGTTATCGATAACACTGCTAGTTGATGAAAATAAACTGACAATAACACGAAAAAAATTGAAGAATCCGCAGATATATTCAACCAAAAGAAATTATTAATGGGCCCAGTAAGAGCCAGTGCACGAATGTTTTAGTGCAACAAAATCAGAATTCCTTATAAGTAACATCTATAATTCGCGATGTTACGATTAATAAGGCCGATATTCATAATCAGATCTTATACTCAAGATCGTCGTATACTTAAGTTCATCTTCAGATGCTTTGTAGCTAACAGATTTGTTCGTTTTAGTCGAATTAGATTGGTACTTCTTGCTTTTACAATGAGACAAGTATATAATCTAGCGTGAAAAGGAAAAGGAACAATGCCGTGTATTAAGTCTGATACACAACGCGTCGTATGCCGCACGTGATGTCTTAACGCAGTCGAATGAGGAGAATTTGCTTTCGAAAAATAAATTCTTTCATTGGATCATCGGCTGCGTTCGACATCCGACTGCAGCATATGGCGTATTGTAGAACAGGCTTTAATGCTATCCTATTCCTCAGGCATAGTAATATCGGAAATTTCAAATTAGGCGTATCATTTCTGAATGTTCGTGCAACATGACTGCTGATTATTCTATGAGCCGGCAAGGATGTTCTAAAGCAGCAATCATAATGCAATAGTCAGTAATGATGCACCTAATTCGAAATTTCTGATATCACTATGCCTACGGAATGAGATAGCATTAATACACGGCAGTGAACAAAGTTCCAACGCAACAATAGTTCATCTAAAACGAACAGGTCTAATGAAACGATCCGTACAGTATTTGAATGTAAATTTGGGATTTGAAACACAAGATTAGATTATGGACACCTCCCCATGAGACCGAAACGTTTGGAAATTACTATAACATATCGTGAATTATAGTTGTTACTTAAAGAATTTTGCATTAAGACCCGTTTGCACCAACCTTAATTTGGCTTTAAATGAAATTTCGAACTTTAAATTAAAACTTTAAATTTGTTGTACCAAAGCAAAAGCGACATCTAAAGCGGGGCCTACAATGAAAATTTAAGCTCTAAGCCTTAAGAAATTGACCAATTACAGTCGAATGTGAGGAGAATAATCGACATGATCGGTTAATTTGTTAAGGATTAGAGATTAAAACACCTATTGTAGACCGGGACTAAGGTATTTTAATTC